TTGGTCATGGGATCAGTAAGCAGGAAGCAGTAACATTTCTTTGGATATCTGTCATTTTCTAATTGTATAAGTCTGCCTCAGAATTTAAAGGCCCAATGCTTGTACTTAGAACATAAATTGGTTCTCCCCGCTTCTTACAGAACTAAACATTTGGGTGTAGCTTTGCCAAGATCCAGAACGGTTTTCCAGAACTTTACCTGAACATGATCAATCACGTCCTAGTTTTCCGTACCCCAAATTTCAGAGCCATAAAGCAGCATTGGTTTAATATTCATTTCAAAAATATTTTTTTGTTTCGAAACATAATTCTTAGTATGAACCGAAAAGCCGTCTTGTTCGAGAAACAATCCGTTGAGCTTTACAAAGCTCGATCTTCTAGCGTTCGTCTCCAGCATAAACGCGATGAAAATGAAATGCCCAAGAAACTATAATAGGTTACTATCTCTAAGATCTTCGCTTCCAATACCATCTCTCAGATCTTTTGAGATAGCCTTCATTTCTAAAAACAACAATAGTGCTTTTCTCCGTATTCACTTGTAAACCCCATGTCTGGCAGAATCGTTTAACCTATTGATTTTCTTTTGTAAACCTCTGACATTATCGTAAAAAAATACTCAGGTCATCAGCGTACATAAAACATAAAATACCATCAGTATAATTGGGCAATACCTGCATAGCATGGGCATTTGATTCTGAAAGGTGTTTTTTAAATTGAGATTTTTAAAAAAGAAGCAAATAACATATAGCTAGGTATGCACCCTTGTTTGACACCTGATGTGCATGGGAAATATTCAGTAATATAAGATTTCAAGGAACCTCGTTCGCCTGAGCAGACTTTAAAACATGAAAGAACACTTTGATACATATTTTTCATAATAGTACACATGTTGCAGACTTTAAAACATGAAATAACACTTTGATACATATTTTTCATAATAGTACACATGTTGCAGACTTCAAAACATGAAATAACACTTTGATACCTATTTTTCATAATAGTACACATGTTGCAGACTTCAAA